GGCGCGAGTGGAGCACCACCACTCTTGTCACACCGCCCTTTCTCGTGGCCTAGTTGATCAACATTCGTATTATCGTTATCGTTAATGCTAAACAATCGCACCGTATGAACCGCTACCGTTGATGTACTATATATTGGTTTTGTTTTTGAAGCTAGATGGCCAACCCGAGAAACATGGATGAGGAGGAGTTGATGATGAATTTGATCAACACCGGCACTCAAGTTGCCGCGATGATGGTGCTAAAAATAACGTGCAAGAGGATGCGATGACGGAGTCGATGATTAGCTCTTGAACAAAATGAGCAACAACAGATTGGCCAAGTATATATTTTTTATTATTAGCTATATATATTATCATATGTCTTTATGTATGCTCATGACATTAAAAATAATGTTTATGTTTTGTAGCCCTCGGATCGACATCAACAACTACAACGAAGAGTAAAAATGTTCGAGGTCCCAAAAAGCCATTGGAGGCCGCTTCATCATCTCGGAGTTCAATGTGGATACAGGAGAACCGGGGGCGAATAAAATGAAATTTGTGCACCACTGTGGTTTACCTTTGTACGGGACCGGCTCCCGATTAGTACCCGTGAATGGAAGAAGAAGACCAATGCTCCTCATATCGGTTTTGTCTCCGATCGTGACAAGGCGTTAATTTGGAATGATGTCTTGGTACATTTCACGCTCCAAACAGATGGTTATGATGATATAATAGATGGTGATGAATTGAAGGAGCGAGTTAGGGATTGGGCAATGAAGAAGATGGCCACCCAGTTTGCACTTGGAAGAAACACCTATACACGACGTATGTCAAGAAGAACATAGCACCAGATTTTACCGTCCCGGGCCCGATCTCAAAGCAGAGGCCCTATTGGGATGAGTTTGTACAATACAAGACTTCGGAAGAGGGTGTGAGTCGGGTGATAAAGAACCAACGTAATGCCCAATGTAAGACATACCACCATACCTTGGGATCGGTGGCTACCCGACCGCCATTAAGAAGTGGAACAAAATGGAAGCGCACCTTCTTGCCAAGGGTAGCATACCGTAATCACTCGAGTGGGGAGAACGTGCAAAGAATTGGTTTTTCGGTCATGGGGAACACTAGACCAGAGACAGGAAGTGCGTTTATGGCGCAAGACCGCAAGAAGCGTGGAAAGATTGTTTTATGCTCGAGAGCTATCACTGCTAGTGGTGCGTTCAGCCCAACAGAGAGAAGGATGAGCTGACATACGCCATCGGGACTATTGAACATGGTGGCGAACTAGAGGCAAAGAAAGTGTCTCGTGGGAGCATGGATTCCTCAGATGACCTTCTTCTGAAGTCGCCAGAGAAAGAAGGAAGAAGAGGCACAATGGCTCCAGAGATTGGAGGAAGCGGTGCATGAAGCATGTGAGCGGGAAAAAAACCTTGAAGCGAGAATGCAGGAGGAAATCGTAAGGCAAGTGCAAATAGCGGTGAGTGCAAGTAAGCGAGCATCGAGAGCAAATCAACATTAGCCAACTGCTTCGGTTGAAAAGCAACAAGGCTCCACGGAGATACCAAATCAAGGGGACACAGATCGCGCTTCCCTGTGGATGACGCCACCGAACCTTGTACAACGTGTGAGCTACACATTCCGAGGAGAATTCTACAATCAAGGTGGCTATCGGTCTTGTTAATCCTATCGACCGAACCAAGACACCAAGGATTCATGGGAATATAATCCAAGAAGGATATGCTACCATCTCGGTAGATAAAGCTGAAAAAGGTTTTAGTGATTTGCCTCTTGACATTACTCAAGGTGATGGCGAGAAGACTCTAGGAGAAGCGGAGAAGACATTCATTCTATGGCGCAAGCGCTACATCATCATTCCGGGATGTCGGCTCCACCTCCTCCCTGAACTACCTCACCATAGGTACGCGCGGATGAAAACACTACATCATTAATTTGTATTGGCTTAAATAATTAACAATCTGCTCATAATAATATGTCATTCCTTTTTTTAGCAGATCCTCCCCAACCTAAATCCAATTGTTCAATCGCCAGATCATCATAGTGCTCTCAGACGATGACATTATGTTGGAAGACGAGGCTGCATCTACACCATCTCCAAGGAGGTCTCCAACGCCGCCGCCGCCACCTCCAAGGAGGTCTCCAACGCCACGCCAACACCTCCAAAGAGGTCTCCAACGCCTCCCCCCCGCCTACCAAGAAGCCTAGCAAGAGGCCAGTCCCTCAAACGAAGAACCAGTCCCTCACCAGAAAAAAGCCACCGTGAAACCAAGGGCTATTCGCAAAATAATATCTCAAGAGAAGGAAGAAGGAACTGATGCATATAAAAAGACATGTCTAGATTCTATGACAAACTTAAAATGAATCAAGAAGCAAGGAGAAACCCGGAGAAACTGTACTTCTTCGTAGCTCCGATATATTCTAAGAAAAAAGGTGACTTCTTATCGGCAACAACAAATGGGAATCTCGTAAGTCGTCCAAATCAACGTTATCGACTATGACCGCACTCTCACCAAGTCAATTGAGGCGGCACAGAAAAAAGAAGCGGGCGGGAAAGGCATTGCCCAACTCGGACAACAAGCGCACCAATCAATCCCCGCTAGTTGTTGGTAATGAATATGGTTCGAATTTAGGATTAATGCATCGAGCAAACATACCTCCGGATGTCGATTTGGATCACCTTGGTGAATTTCTTGATGAGACTGGTCTCGACCTTTACCGGATGTTTGGTGATGGAAACATTGAGAGTCTGGCGGAGGTTGATATTTGGAAGAAAAATTTGTACTAGGCCGAGTCTATACAACCCTCAAGCCTTATCTCGATCTGGGATGCAAATGTACACCTTTAAACAGTGGTACATGCAAAGGCTCTACCGATGGAGACTTCTGCGTTGGTGTCGAATTAGAGACGAACATTGGTTCCGTGGCGATGATGTTATGTATGTTGACTTTGCGAAATTTCATCAACTATGCCACCGACCTCTCTCGGACAAAGTTATCATTAGTCGCTATTGCCTCGTAAGTAATAATTCTTTCGATCTATTATTAAACTCATCATATGTGTGTATATGCATATAAATTATCCTAACAAGTACTATATATATGCAGATTTACAATGACAGAGCTCGAAAAGGAAGGCCGCAATGAAATTGGTTTTGTTGATCCCCATATAGTATTCAAAGACCCAGTTACTCCAAAGACTAATTGGAAGTCTGAGTCGAGAGTAACCTCATGAACTTCTTAGTGAACCAACGCCACAAGAAGGATATACTCTTTCCTATAACTTCAAGTGAGTGTTAATCATGTCGATCATATCCTTAATGGCTCATATGTTGATTCTAGTTAATTAATAAGTGTTATGCGTTATATCCTATAAACACATGCAAAGAATCAATCGGATATTGATGGACATCGATACGTGAAAAGTCACTTGATAATCTATGACTCGATGAGAAAACCACAACAAGACTACCAAGATATGATAGATATTATCCAGAGGTAATTTCGGGATCTCTAGCAACTATATATACACACAAACATGATGATTAACTATATCCGATGACGTGGCAAATTTTTTTATTAGGCAAAGTTTGGAAAACCTTTATTGAGAAGCAACACATGGAAAAATGCAAAACGCCACTTGAATGTAATCCCTTTGAAAGTAAGTCCCTCGAATCGCATCATCTTTATTAATTAAACATATAGCTTTCACCGGATCACCAGATTGGATGACAAATCTTTTTCTCGTAAAGTGGTGTCTAAGGCAGAAACAGGGAACAACTCATGTGGTTACTATGTTTGCATGTTTATCAAGGTGCTCTCCCAAAGAACTCCTACAGAGACTCAAAGTACGTTAAAATATACACTATATTTCATTTAATTATTATTATTGATTGTGTTACTATGTCTTTATATATATATATATGTACATATATTAATTTATTTTCCTTTAATTCAAAGTCAGAGACTCGATGGTTGGAGGAAAAGGTCATACGGCAAGACCAAATCAAAGCAATTCAAGAGTCTATAGCGGATTTTTAATGAGCAGTCATCGATTCCAAGGACGAGTTCTACTTGACCCAACACCGCCATTGAAGCCAAGCTAGAGGATGAGAGGAAACTTGTTATGTCACAACAACTGTAATGCAATCTTTTGTAATATATGCACATGAAATAATATAATGTAAAATACACGTATGCATGCATGCATTTAATATATATATGATGCATGCATTCATATATATATATATATATATATATATATATACTTCTATGCTTGAATTGTGTGATTTAATACGTTCATTGTGCTTGAACCGAAACATACTATATGCGTGTATAAATGTATAATTAGCAGCGTACAATACGACTTCGAAAACCTATTTTGAAAAGAAAACAAAAAAATGAAAAGAAAAGAAAAAAGAAAAAAACATTTAGTCCCGGTTCGTATTACCAACCGGTACTAAAGGTGCCGGTCATCGTGGCATGTCAGGAGGCACCTTTAGTCCCGGTTGGTGTTACCCACCGGGACTAAAAGTCCTCCTTTAGTCCCGGTTCCTGACCCGGGACTAAAGGACCCCCTTTAGTCCCGGATGCTTGCTCCCGGGTGGGAAACCGGGACTAGAAGGGGTTCCCCACCGAGAGTAAAGCTCAGTTCTCTACTAGTGGTTGTATATACGCATGCACCCAGCATGCGCTATGCTTGTCATACAAGTATGAAGTATACAACTGTACAAGATGGCACGAGCGCAGTATCTGCAAAGCAACGTTTGTACTGTAGCATCGTATTAAAATATAATATAATATAACTAAAGAAAAGCAGCAAATTTTTGTTGTGGAATGGAATTCCTAAAGTAGCTCCAGCGCATTCCAAGCCCAATATCATTGTTATGGTATGTACAAGATATAGAAATATAATAAATAGATAAATACGACTACTAAGCAAAGGTAAATTAATTATTTTCCTGATATATACAAGCAAAGCAAGGCTATCGTCCTACCGTAGCAATGGAGGCAGCAGGCGGGGGAACGACGATGAAGACGGTGTGCGTGACCGGCGCGGGCGGGTTCGTGGCCTCATGGCTCGTCGAGCGCCTCCTCGCCGGCGGCCGATACATGGTCCACCGCACCGTCCGCGATCCCGGTAACTTGTTGATAGATAAAGGATCCACGGCACCGTCCTGAGGAGCTTGAGCGACTGAGTGAGCGTGTGTATGACGATCGATTCGTGCGCAGGCGACGCCAAGAACGCGCACCTGCTGGGGCTGGACGGCGCCGCGGAGCGGCTGCGGCTGTTGAAGGCCGACCTGTGCTCGACTACGGCAGCGTGGCGGCGGCCATCGCAGGCTGCGGCGGCGTCTTCCACGTGGCCTGCCCCGTCCCCGACTATGCCCTCACTGACCCCGAGGCACCAGCACTCCCGCGCCCTTTCTCCCCTCTGCCTCGACAATGCAATGCATGCCTTTTCAATTCGTGTGATCTCCATCGGAGACAGACAGTCACCGTGTACGTACGTCTCCATATGTTGTTGTTGTTGTTGCAGGTCGAGATTCTGGCTCCTGCCGTGACGGGCACCATGAATGTCCTCAGGGCGTGCTCCGAGGCCGAGGTAGTCAAGAGGGTCGTCGTGGTGTCGTCTCTCTCGGCTGTGATGATAAAACCTGAGTGGGGCGAGTGCAAGGTCATGGACGAAGGTTGCTGGTCTGACGTCGACCTCTGCAGAACCACTGAGGTCACAAACCAACTCGAACCCTTTTGCATGCGTGCCCTCGGGGAAATTTGATATTAATATTGTGTTACCCATGTTTCATCAACAAATATGAGCTGATTGATGAACTTAGGCCCTATTTGGTTCTCCACCAACTAAGACTGAGTTCGTTGGGCATGCATATGGGGAACGGGAACATGGGATGGTTTTCTATCCCTGTCTCCGTAAACCCAACAGGAACTAAATTATTTCCGTTTCAATTCGACTGGAGATTAAATTGGTCTCGTCCCTGTCTCCTAAAAGGAGAATTCTCCACGCGGAATAAGCGATCGGGGCCCACTGCCATCTCTACCACCAACACATGCCACGTTGGTTGTACCGCCGCTGCAGACGAGCCAAAGAAAATGGACGCCACAATTGTGGCAAGAATTGATATGTGAATGAGTTGAGAAACTTGTGGCACACCACAACTAACCTGTTAATCAAATAAACAGCCTTACTTTTGTTGCAGTCGCATGTGTGGCGTGGCAAAGTGAGGTCCTGAAACAAACTGGCCCATATATAATCCCTCTCTGTCAAACAAACCCTTACGCCTGGCACACACGCGCATGTCTTATTAACGGATTGTTTTGTTGTGTCTATAGTAGGTCGTAACCAAAGCTATTTCTCTCCTTTGACATAATGACACATAGTTTTCCTATGTGTTCGCGGAAAGAAACCTTCGTACAGAAAAGTACATATAATCACCGGATGTCAACTATTAGAAATTTAGGCATTTTCATTATCAGTTTAATCCAGAAAAATAACATCAGCAGATTCATGATGGCATATATGTGCATGTGTATATCTCTAATGAGCGCTACATCATGTAGAGATGACATACAGATTAATACAGCAAAAGCGCAGATTACAGTAATCAGAAAGATTAAACTGTACCCAGCGGAGGGTCCTATGCCGAGGGCATCGGAGGTTCCATTCGCACCAGTCGACATAGTACGTTGCTCGAAGTCGCGGACCACAGTTGGTGCAGGATGATGTACGTAGTGCAGTCCCACGAACGGATCACTAGGAACAAGACTGCCTTGATGTTCCGCAGGCAATCACCGGGAAGAGGACGGGATCCAAGAGCGATCACCACCAGGAAGAAGACGTACATGGACGAGCAGTCACGGATCGCTCCCCAAAAACCTAATCGCCGCACACCCCGTGTAAGGTTCTCAGGCGGTGATCTGGACTGACGGAGGACTGCGGATATATGGCTGCGACGGGAAGGGAGAGAGGCAGCGGAGAATCCCAGGAGACGGAGAAACGAAAGCGGAAAGGACGGTAACTGACGCAATCAGTTCGCCTCCACCATCAAAGGGAGTAACTCCCGTGATTATGTGGATTAAGTGGCAAAAGACTGGCCACGCCCGCCCGCTCGCCGCCCGCCTCGCCTCGCCTCGCCACGGCCACGGCCTCGCCACGGTCGGCGGCGGCTCGCGCGCGTGTGGTACGTCTTTATCCTTTTCTCAGCTTCTCAATTTAGATAAATAATTTCCAACCATATAAGCTGAGTTAACGTTCAGTCAAAATCCCATATGGTATTAAACCATACAACGCTTAATGTTAATGTTACGTACCATAGAGTTTTATTTGATTTATTAAATATTATATGGGCCAAGCCCATATTATATCAATAATCCCACCAAACTTTAGGGTTTGTAACAAAGTAGTCTCAGAACCACATTTCTTTTATATACCAGTGTTTCGATGGAGACTGTTAAGTTGAACATCCATCTAGAGCAATAGTTTCACTCAGTCACAACTGAACAATGGACTAGGCCTTGAATTGTCAGTTTTGTGTGAGGTGAATGTCACTAAAGTCCTTAGCTGATACTTGGCTGCAAAAGACATCCCCTCTATTTGAAGCATATAAATCATACTCTAGTGCCTTTCATGAGTATTTAGAGATCACCCAAATCTCATAGACTGTGACCAGCAGCCTGACTCATATAGGTGTGCTCCTCAAAAGATGTTCTATAGGACAATATCTTTGCTTTAGCAAGCCACTTGGAACACATTAAGGTAAAAACCAACCTGCCTTACAGATAGAAAAGATATACATCAGAAATGAGTCTTACTAAGGATCTTTCCTCACAATTTACTACTAGCTTGTTTCACCATTCTACTTTACGGGATCTCCGATCACATAGAACAGGTTACCACTATAGTAAATTTCAAGTGGGTCTCAAACCCATCTCTCTCGATGCACTTTCTATCACATTGCGTGACAGACCCTTAGTGAACTGATCTGCCAGATTGTTAGATGTGTGAACATAGTCCAACGCTATTACTCCAGAGTTTCTTAATTTTCTGACAGATTTCAATCGTCTCTTAACATACCTTGTGGACTTCATATTATCCTTAGAACTGTTAACCTTCGTAATCACAGTCTGGTTATCACAGTTCATAAAAATAGCCGGTATGGGTTTTTCAACAACCGGTAAATCCATAAGGAGATCACGAAGCCATTCGGCCTCAGAGCCAGCGGTGTCTAATGCTGTGAGTTCTGCTTCCATTGTAGACTTCGTTAAGATAGTCTGCTTGCAAGAATTCTAGGAAACAGCGCCACCTCCAAGCAAGAACACATATCCACTTGTGGCATAAAGCTCATCAGCATCAGAGATCTAGTTGGCATCACAATAGCCTTCCAACACCTTTGGATGTCCGGTATAACGAATACCGTAGCTCATGGTGCCTTTTAAATAGCGCATCACTCTCTCAAGAGCACACCAGTGATCATCTCCCGGGTTTGACACAAACCGGCTCAGCTTGCACACAACAAATGAGATGTCAGGCCTAGTTGCACTAGCAAGATACATGAGCGAACCAATGATCTAGGAATATCTCAACTGATCCCTTGCAATTCTTCGAATTTTCCTTAATAGCACACTAGCGTCATAAGATGTAGGAGCAGGTGCACAGTCACTAAATCCAAAGCGACTCAGTACCTTTTCCACATAGTGGGATTGTAACAGAGTTACCCCACCATCACCTTCTCTTAGAAGCTTGATATTAAGGATAACATCAGCCTCTCCCAAATCTTTCATCTCAAAATTATTAGTTAAAAATTCCTTCACCTCCTCGATCACTTTGAGGCTGGATCCAAAGATCAGTATGTCATCAACATATAAGCACAAAATAACTCCTTCACCCCCACCATATCGATAGTACACATATTTGTCAGCTTCATTCACAACAAAGCCAGCAGATGTCAAAGTTCTATCGAACTTCTCATGCCACTGCTTAGGAGCTTGTTTCAGGCCATATAATGACTTTAATAACTTACACACCTTGCCTTCTTGACCATTTGCTACAAACCCATCCGGCTGATCCATATAGATCTCCTTCTCCAACTCTCCGTTTAGGAAAGCTATCTTAACGTCCATTTGATGAACGATAAGACCATAAGAGGCTGCTAGGAAAAGTAAAACTCGAATTGTGGTCAATTGTACAACCGGTGAATAAGTATCAAAGAAATCCTCACATTCCTTTTGAATATAACCCTTGGCCACAAGCCTTGCCTTGTACCTCTCGATAGTACCATCAGACCTAAGCTTTTTCTTGAACACCCATTTGCACCCTATAGGCTTGCACCCATAGGGATGATCAACAATTTCCCAAGTTCCATTAGACATAACAGAATCCATCTCACTCCGTACTGCTTCCTTTCATAAGTCAGCATCAGGAGAGGAATATGCCTCTTCAATGGTCGTTGGTGTGTCATCCACAAGGTACACAATATAGTCATCACCAAAAGACTTTGTAGTCCTCTGTCTCTTACTTTTCCTTGTGACTATAGTGTCATCCCCCTCAGGATTTTGCATATAGGGTTCCTCAGTTTGTTCTATCGGAGTAAAATTTTCATGCTCATGGGGAATTATAAATTCATGACTAGTCATGCTAGGTGCATTTTTCATAGGAAACTCATTCTCAAAAAATGTAGCGTCTCTAGATTCTATGATTGTATCAACAACCATCTTAGGAACACTGGAGTTTATGACTAAAAATCTATAACCCACACTGTGAATAGCATAACCAAGAAATACACAATCAACGGTCTTTGGTCCAAGCTTTCACTTTTTGTTATTGGCACATTCACCTTTGTCAAACAACCCCAAGTTCGCAGGTAAGAGAGATTTAATCTCTTCTTCTCCTATTCCTCGAATGGTATAATTTCTTTGTTCTTTGTGGGCACTCTATTCAGGACATGGCATGCTGTCAGTATAGCCTCACCCCACCATTCCTTAGATAGTCTCGCAGTCTCTAACATGTCATTAACCAATTCAGTTAGAGTGCGGTTCTTTCTCTCTGCAATCCCATTAGACTATGGTGAGTATGGTGGCGTCCTCTCATGAATAATTCCATGCACCACGCAAAACTCAAAAAAATTATTTGAGAAATATTCTCCCCCGCGATCGGACCATAAACGCTTGATTTTCTTGTCAAGTTGATTTTCTACCTCAGCTTTATAGACTTTAAAGTAATGCAACGTTTCATCTTTAGTTTTTAATAAATACACATAGCAAAATCTAGTACAATTATCTATAAATGTCATGAAGTATCGTCTACCACCTTTAGTGAATTCACCATTCATTTCACATAAATCAGAATGAACGAGTTCTAATGGTGCCAAGTTCCTCACCTCAGTAGCCTTGTGAGGCTTGCGCGGTTGCTTCGATTGCACACACACCTAGCACTTAGAATCTTTGACTAAGTTAAATTTTGGGATTAAATTCAGATTTGCAAGCCGCATGAGACAGCCAAAATTAATGTGACAAAGTCATGAATGCCATATATTTGACTCATCCGAAACATTAACATTGTTCACCACTTTATTACACACATCATCAAGCAAAGATAAGCGGAAAAAGCCTCCGCAATCATAACCTTTTCCAACAAATATTCCATGTCT